TATTCTAGCTGTCTTAGTGACGAAGGTAGGCAATAAATTGGTTCACCTTTAAGAGGCAAAACCACGTATCGTTATCGAAAAATCAACAAAAAAGTATGATTTGCGTTCATTCCCTTTTTTCAGGCATTTACGTGAATAAAATGGATAAGATTTTCAGGTTATGATGACTCTTCTCATTATGTTATCATTATGGCGAGTAACTAGACAAACACGTTATGTTGTTGTCATGTATTGGTTTGTAGAGATTTTGTTTGATTTGGTTAGGTGGTTGGTTGGAGGATTTCATCATGAGCACTGACATCGGTTGGTGGTTAGAGAACCAGAACCACCATTGGAAAACCAGCTACGGGGGGTACTGCTAGACAGCTGTTTCGCCAGCCTAGTTTGGGACTGGCTCTTCAGCAGTACGCATCCACCGGAGTTTGAACCCAGGAGCTCCTGATTACAAGGTTTGGCATGAGGACAAGTACTCGCCACCGATGTCACTGGCTAGTGGTCGCACTCTGCCGTGAGTGAATTTGCAGAAGTTAGAATTCATGAACTGGCTGGCTGGCCAGTGGCTGCTTAATGGTCTACGAGCTGGCCCGCCTTGTAACGCTAAGGTGGTTCGAACCTTTTTGGTGTGGTGGGGTGGGTGCGCACTAATGAAGAGCCAATTCAGTCCGTAGCACTAGGACGGAGGAAACAGTTGTCTGGCAGTACTCCGTGTGGCTGGTTTTCCAATGGTCGTTCTCTAACCAACTGTTGTCAATGCTCATGATAAAATCTTGTAACCAATCAAACAAGCTACATAAGTCGTTTAGTGCTTATCACACGTAAATTATTCATTTGATCAATTTTCATACTATTCTCAAATGACTGGATATTTTTTCCATCAGCCCACCTCCTTTTTAATTGACCTTACGGCTGCTCATAAACTTTCATCTCCTCGTCACACTATCTAATTCATGTCACCCTGAGACCCACGTCCAACCAATCATTTCTCATTCAGGTTCCATTGAAAGGCCTAGGGTATGATATGACTTAATGGTCCCTTCGTAACGGCAGAAGACAAGGGCCAGGCAGCAGATCGTTTATTGAGAAAATCAAGCGGTATTTATAGATTTTTATGTACATTATTATAAGCGTTACTGTTAGCAGAGTAGCAACATCTTCTGATTGGTTGTTTTCTTGCTGAATGTTACTCTGTCATCTGCTTGTGACGGTTTCTTAGAAAATTAAGCCATATATCTGCGAATCGTATTTGTACATGTTAAGTCTGCTATGACTGGTTGGTGAACTCCTTAAGGTTAAGCTTTGTTATTGTCTTTTTTTCTCGTGACCCCTATTCGGGATGTAACATTAACGTAAACTGCGGTTTACAATTTTTGGCTTGCGGACAGCTCTCACCACACCGTCATTGTGAGTGTCCGATCCATCATCATTTCCGTCTACATGTTTTTGAGCAATATATTCTTGACTGGTCCTTCCTACCTCAAAGCTCTTGGTTACTAATTCTTTCTGGTTAAGTGATCTTCAATATGAAGCCAGCCAAGGGGAGAGGGGCAACTGATAATGAAAGTCTGCACGGATCTGCTCGAAATCTTCTCGTTTGAGTAATTATTTCACCTTATTTGTGATAAATTCACATTCTGAAATAATAGAGGAGATTTTTGTAGCTCAGGTGGATGATGATTTGGGATGAGTTGTGCTCTCTGACGAGCTAGTTGGTTGATGGTTTAATTGTGAAGCTTTCATCGTCTCCCCTTCTGGACAACATCTTCAGCGCATGTTTTAGCATAACAATCCAGGAGTGAGAATGCACCAATTATCTTAAATGTATATGATTCGTTAGATAACAGGACCTACCACTAGTAATTATAGCGCCACTATGAATGCTGTGAACCAGTTGAGGTGTAAATTGCATCTCAATTTCGTTTTCGATTACTGTTTGGATAATAGGTGAATAGCTTGTCTGGGTTACGTTTGCGTTTGGGATCAGGGGTTAAGGTGTTTTATCTTTAAATGATTAAAATTGCCCATGAAAATTGTTTTTTCAAAAGAATGGTTACTGAACAAAGAATATTCCCACTTTTCGATAACCTTCTCTTCATCATCATCATCATCAGATTCTACAGTTATATGCATCCATTCATAATACTGAATGAATGGATTAGTGTGATGAACAACATTAATGCGGTTGTTTAAATAACATCGAACCAATAATAACAATATCAGTGGATTACAGTTCGATATCATCAACATCAATATCAGACAAATCAGGAAAAATAATGATACAACTTCATGAATTTATAGTCTCCACTGAAGGCTGGACAGGGCAGTAGTAGTGGCTGTCTGGCTGTATCTGTTTCTTCAGCACACACACACATAGATCACTGGTTGTTTCAGGCGAATCGCGATAGCCTCTGTTGTTTGGAGTACGCAGTACCTCGATATTTTTGGCAGTTTCCTGGGTACCCGATAGAGGATAATGGAGAGGGATTCTTCAATTTTGGCTGGCCGATTTGGACCAGGTAGTCCAATATCGAACTGGTGATGGCTTTTCTACACCTTTATTTAGCCATACTGGTAGGTGTTCCCAAGCGAGCCTGAAAAATCATGTTCCTAGAGCAGCGGCCAATATAACTCGCTTCATCACAAGTTCAGTTAAAATGGCAGATAAAATTAGAAGTGACAAGCTAGTCTACGTACTTCACCTCCCGATAGGGGAATCACCATCGCTCATGTAGATAATACGACTTTTAGACTGGCAGCAATTAAAGTTCTATGAACTGATTTTCTTAACTTCTTCGTAATTATTTCTCTAGGTATATCATCTTTGAATAGCAGTCCTATGTATAAAGGCTTCTTTTTTATGGATAGTGAACAGTCCATTTCCGTTCTCTTTGTCATGCGTCGTGTCATTTGTCAAGGAGATATCATATACGAGCAATCCTTAGTTCATCTTCAATTACCTCTCCTGAGCGCGTAGCTCTAACCCTGTGACTGAGGGTCTGTATTATCTTTATTTTGCTGGTGAATAGTTGTCACACACCTCTCCTACTGGTAGAGGAAGACTGGAAAACAGGATAATAAGGATTAATGCGTCACAAAAAGAGCTCACCTTCAGTCATGTCGATGAATACATGTAAACCTATAAACGGATACGCTTCATTTGATCTGGGAGATATTTTTAATTTTCAAAAGTTTGGTTTGTAAGGATTAGATTTGTTCATACGAGTTTGACCACGGATTGATATCAGTTAGAGAACTATTGAAAACAAGGGAGCACTGGATAGCTGTTTCATCCTAGTTTGAGAATCATCGGCAGTACTCATCCACAGTAAGAATAATAATATCAATGGATTACAGTTCAATAACATCCACATGACACTACATACTGAATGAATATCATAAAACCTAGGTGCCTACTGATGATGATTCCCAAACTAGGATGAAACAGCTGTCCAGTACTCCCTGGTTTTCAATGGTCCTCTAAGTGATATCAGTCCGTGGACAAACTCGTATTAACAAATCTAATCCTTACAAACCAAACTCTTGAAAACTAATCTGATGCTCGCTAGAGACAGCTTGTTACAGGAAGGAGTTTACTGGAGTTCCAGTGAGAAGTCATGTGACCAGTGAGGTTCTTCCAGTCGATGGTGAGGATGGATGTCCCACCAATGAAACTGGTTGGTGCTAGTCGCGCTAAACGCATCACGAATTGATAGAAGTTTAAATTCATGTACTGGTTGGCCATTGAATCAAGCGGGTTCCAGTGAGTGGCTTAATGGTATACGAGCTAGCTGGCCTTGTAACCGGAAGGTCCTGGGTTCGAACCCCACTGTGGTGTGGGGTAGGTGTGTACTGCCGATGATTCCCAAACTAAGATATTTTTTAAGTGACGTTCTTTTGTAAATAAACGTAGTCATCACCATTTTTATGCAGAAACAACACACTGATTTTTATGACTGTTCGCCTCGAGATCATTCACGGAAAATACTCATCCAGACATGAATATAAGAACAACAAAGTTCAGCGAAGAGTCTCTTTTCGCCACCGGCGGCGAATTCATTCATCACTTAGCTCAGCTCTACAATAGCATTTATACATAATTATTTTTGTCTGTGTGTGTGCGTGTGTGTACATTAGGATTGTCAAACAAAAATAAAATAAAAATTAGTTAGGGTTACTGCTCACGTCATCAAAATGTAACTAGGGGGGTGAAGATTGGTAAGTATTGACAAGGGTTGCCTAATATGAAATAGGATGTTAATGGATACACGTCTCAAAAAGAGTCAAATAATGTAATAGGTAGAAAGAGTAAGGAAAGGGTTGGTTAAGAGGAAGAAGATGTTTCTAAGATACTATACAAAATTCGAAAAAAACCAACAAAAAAGAAAACCTTAAGATTATTAACAAAGTTGTAGAACTTGGAATTATACCCAAGGTAGGAGGAGGAGTCGGTGGAGAGGTTTCTTCTTCTGTGTGCATAAATCAGGGTTTTCTATGTGGATCGTTGCTAAGGCCTCGCTGAGCAATGCAAAGCTTAGTGTTTTCCAACGGGAGGCTTCTTTTGACTTTGTAGATGACAGTGAACGAACTTTGAATGGCCAGTATTGACTCAATGTTCAGTTGTAGTACTCTTTATTGATCCACTGTTACCTTTTCGTATGTATCCAATCGCGATAATGTTCTCTGACTCTCCGAACGACTTACATATATCTCGCTCTCTCTACAAGAGCAAGTAAATTGGTAGGTAGATACATATAGAAGTGATGAAATGCGATAGTTTATTAAAGGGGTGGTGGGGCTTGAGAATACACCAATCATCATGCAGCAGCTGCAGGGAATGTTCTTTTCGGGGCATTAGTTATTCTTCTTTTTAAGATGTCGGCCAGAAGGACGCCATATTCATGCATAGCATCTGCTTCGGCACAGTAATAGGTCAGCATTGATTTCACATTTGATGGATGGCTACATTTTAAATTTTGCTGTAATATTTTTTTGTTTGGTTTTAGCTCCCGAATACATTTCTATCGAATTCTGGCCAGTTGTATCTTCAATTTGTTAGTGATGATACAGTGGGGAGTAAAGGATTCCAAGCTCAATACCAAATGATTCCATATGGATACAAACTGCCTAAACATGAAATCGATTCTCAAGCATTAATCAATCAAGTCGCCACATCAACATCATCTTCAAGCGTTTATTATGGTAAAAATGAAATGCTTCAACAATATCAACCATTCCACGGGAATCGTTATCTCTTTCCACCTGCATGGGGTACCGGAAGAATTCGTTATTTTGGCGATACACGTCATTCAGATATGACAGGGAATTATCAATCGACACGTCCATTTCAGCATCATAAACAAGCCTATCAACAACACCAACAGCAACAACAACAGCAACAATCAGCTATACGACAAACGTATCCTACAGTATATCCACGGAATAACTTTTATCCAAGACACAATGAAAGATTCCCCATTAACAGAGAAGAGAATTCACAATTACCTTGGCGATTTGCATATAGCTATCCACAACAGTTTAAGAGTTCAGCAATGCCTATGCTTAACAAGAACCGTTTTGCTCCACGTCCACCCTATATCACTTATAATCTGCATTCACCAAATTCAGTTGTTTTAAAGACTAGGTTATCCTCACCGCCTTCTCCGGCAACAACAACAACAACGACAACGACACCAACAGTGCATACATCCAGTCTCCTGTCACAAGGTTCAATGAATTCACAAAAATCACGAACAGGTAGTACATGGCATGTACGACCAGGTCGGGTTGTTTATCAACCACAATTAAGCATTATCAATAGAATAATTCAACCAACGAAAACATCATCAACACATAGAAATCAACGAAATGTAATCGAACAAGCCGGTAAGAATTCAATGCGTTTTCGTGTCATGACTGAAAGAATTCATCAAAATACACCGCAGTATTCTGGTGGAAGTCAATGGAGGCAACAGAAAACCCGATCATTGAATTCGATCACATTGTAATCATAAATTTTAAAAAAAAAGTAGTCTAATCAAAAGTTTGTGAACGTACATTTAGGATTTTTGTGTGTTTTAATAAGGCGGTTGTTCAATTGTCTGTCAACAGGTGGAATAGAAAGAAGAAACAAAATGGTGATATTTGACAACTTGACTATTTACTGAATATAAAGACTTTTATTTTTTTGTGTTGTTGTTATTGTTGTTGTTGTTGGTGGTGGTGGTGGTGTTGGTGTTGTTCTCTGACTTCTTCGCCTTCTTGTGTATTATAATCGCAAAATGAAACATTCTCTCTATTTATTGTTAATGATAATTTATATAAATTAGGCAATGTTTAACTGTTTTGCATTTCAAAGTGTACTCCATTCTACTATTATTATGATTACTATGATTATTTCAATTCCTCGCTTCGTGTTTCCACTTTGCTGGGCATTCTCGTGACCTAAAAGACGACAAGGTGTAACACTCAATAACCACTGATCGGATGTAACACTGCTGTTATTATTGTTGCTATTATTATTATGATGATGATTACTACGTAAAAATTTAATAATCTGTCGTAAAACACTTTGAATTTGTATCACTGAATTGTTAACACACAACCTAACTGAGTGACTGCTACAATTAATGTTTCTATTTCAATTGAGTTTTGATGTTTCTGTTCGATTCGGTTTGATTTTTTTTTGTTTTTATTGACAATCTGTTTGTCTCCTACCTAGTATAGACACTTTGATGAGATGGTCAGTGGGTTTGAGTTTCAGTAAGAATACTACCAACCACTCAGTCACTCATTGACTGCTTTCGGAGGCGAGGAGAGATGTAGGTGTATGAGTCCTAAAATAGGACGAAATGAGTGTTATTCTGGATTCTACAGTAAGTTGTCGTTCGTCAAATAATTTTCACTATTGTTTCTATTGTTAAGAGACAAAAGCAAATATTAACACTAGCGATGATATCAACAATAGTTAGAATAATAATCTGCTTCAGACAGAATTTTCAAGTATTGGTTTTGTATAAGTATAAAACTTGGGCACTGTGGTAGAGTATAACTCCATTATGGATAAGATTTTATTTTGATAAATCACAAAGTGTAGTGTTACACAGTAATATTAACTGATGACGTTTCAAGCACAAATAATTGCTCATAATCATATCAAGTTACTCACACAACTTTTTCCTTCATTTATATATATGGTTTTGTAGGGATTTTGTTCGACTGGGTTAGTTGGTTGATTGCAGGATTTCATCATGAGCACTGACATCGGTTGGTTAGAGAACGACCATTGGAAAACCCGCCACACGGATTACTGCCAGACAGCTGTTTCCTACCTCCTAGTGGTTGGGCTGAACTGACTCTTCAGCAGTACGCACCCATCCACCCCACTGCAGTAGTGTTCGAAACCTGCACCTTCGGGTTACAAGGCGGGCTACCTTGTGGACCATGTAGCCACTGGGATCTGATACTCACTAGCCACTCACCTTATTCAGGTAGGGATTTAGTGGGAAGTCATGACCAGTAGGGTACAGCAGGTCGATTGTGAGGACAAATACTCGCCGAAGATATTGGCTAGTGGTCGCATTATGTCGTTCGTGAATTGGCAGAAGTTAGAATTCATGGACTGCCTGGCTGTCCATTGGATCGGGACGAGTCCCAGTGAGTGGCTGCTTAATGTTCTACAAGCTAGCTTGCCCCATAACCAGAGGGTTTTCGGTTCCAACCTTGTCGGTGGGTGGAGCCATTCCAGCTGAAACTAGGATAGAGGAAACAGCTGTCTGGCTGTACTCTCTGTGGCTGGTTTTCTAATGGCTTTCCAACCAGCCGATATCAGCTCATGATGAAATCTTCCAATCAAACAGAATTGTTAAATTTTTGGTTAATAAAGAGAAAGGCAAACTATTTTGCCTTAAAAAGTGGAAATATCAACTGGAACACGATATTTATATGTATCATTTAAATACCCCCACTAAGATAACTTTTGAACACGATTTAAGCCATCAAATACGTATTTCCAGTAAATTCTCATCAGGATTTACAATTACATAATAGAGCATCAGTTATAGACATTTGAAAAACAGTGTGAATCAACAGAATAAAATGTAATCAATGGGGAATCTAAGTATAATAATAATGATAATGAGTTTTAACTTTGACCATGGATTGATATCAGTTAGAGAAGTATTGAAAACCAGCCACAGGGAGGACTACCTAGACAGCTATTTCGTCAGCCTAGTTTGGGAATTATCTACAGTACGTACCCAGTAAAATGGTGTTAGAACCCAAGACCTTCCGGTTACAAGGCCAGCGAGCTCGTATACCACTAAACCACTCACTTGGAGCTGCCCGACTCAATGGCCAACCAGTGAATGAATTTTAACTTCTACCAATTCACGATGCATTTAGCGTGACCACCAACCAACGTCATCGGTAGGAATTGCATCCTCATATCCCAACTGTATGGACCCCACTGGTCACACGACTTCTCACTAGAACTCCAGGAAACTCCGTCCTTTAGCAAGTTGTCTCTAGCGAGCATCCGATTAATTTTCAAGGGTTGATTTGTTTTTCGAATTTGACCATAGACTGATTCATATCAGTTACAGAACCGTTGACAATCAGCCACACGGAGTGTACTGACAGACTGCTGTTTTGGCAGCCTAGTTTGGAACTTGCTCTTCAGTAGTACGCACCCACCCACCATATTCGGGTTCGAACCCATGACATTGTGCTTACAAGGCGAGCTAGCTCGTACACCATTCAGTCACTCACTCGGAGCTGCCTGATTCAGTGGCCAGCCATTGCATGAATTCTAACTTCTACTTCGAAAAACAAATCAAATCCTTACAAATCAACCTTTGAAAACAAATTTTGAAACTAGGATTAAATATGCACCTATCCAGTGTCGGCAGGATAACTAGTCTGGGTTGGGCTATGAAGGCTGTAGAATGGAAAGGGATTGAAGATACTTCTTCTGAAAACAAAAGCTGAGCTGAAAATATATTATGGTAACTGCCTCAGTTTCGCTTAGCGAAGGAAGGTGTACCAGCTTAGGAAATTGAGGAGGTACGTTGTATAGAATTGTGTGAAAGCGGGAATTTTTATCAGTCTTGTGGTCATTATCCAAAAGATGTTCCAAAATTTAATTCCTGATTGACTTTATGGCCATTTCATGTAATCACGTTGGAGAATGTTGAGGAAGGCGACGGTGAGCTTGCCAGATGGTTCTACCTATGTAACTGTCGCTACAAGAACAATTAAATTTACAAATGCACATTGAAGAGGCCGGACTCAGTAGCTTATTACGTAATTATAAAGACTGATGAGAATCTATCGAAAATAAATTCCCGATTGCTTAAAACGTATTTTATATACATATATATGGCTGCCTATTATCACTAACGATGATATTATTAATTGTGGTGGACTGGATTATGCGTCAGACTGTGGGAAGAGAGGAGAAACGAATACTCTGGACCACTGATAAGAAGTCTGTAGAAGACCTGGATTTCGCAGATGATAGATGTCTAGTGTCACACAAACTCGAAGACTTATATGCGGAATCCAACAAACTAGCTGAAGAGGTAAGGCAGGCAGCGAAGACAGGAATCCAAGTGTACATAGAGAAGACGGAGATGATGAAGATAACCTAACACCATCAACAGTAACAGCGTCAATAAACAACACGAATCACCATCAACGTAAGAGATTTAACAGAAGTTACATCCTGCTTTCACTCATCTGGCTAGGAAGAAAGGCTTCAACCATAGCTTACGGAACGACTGAAGATGTTAAAACCAGCTACCTGGAATCGGATATGCAAGATTCGCCTTCATCAACCTGAAACCCGTTTGCAAATCTTCTGCAGTGCTCTTCGCCTCAGCATAAACATCAATATTCAGTTTCCATTTTACACCAGTTTTAAATCAGTTAGTTCTTCTATGCGGGTCAGAAACTTGCACTGCACGTGCGTCACGAAAATCATTTCCAACAGCTTGTTGCAGACTTTTTTTAACAGTTGCACGCTTCGATGGCTCCATACTGAAGATCAAATAGTCGGCTGGCCAGAGAGAATTAGCTACAAGAAACTCTGACAATGAATGAACGAACCAACGGAGAGTCGATCGCTCAATGAATATGTAGGAGAAAATGGAGATGGATTGTTCGGGTGTACGTTGAAGAAGGAGACCGTCGAATGCCTTCGCGTTCAATGCAGGCCATCGCTCGAGTGGAGTCTCAATGGGAAGCGACTAGTGGGTGGTCGGTGCGAGGATGACATGGATGAGATCGTGTGTGTGGGTGTGTGTGTTGGGGAGGAGGAGATGAAAGTTTGTTGGCTGAAGAAGATGGGAGAAAATACAATAGAGTGGATGCATGTTGTTGAAGCCACCCCTATATTCCACTTGGAAGCCAAGGGAATTATCATATATATATATGTGATCCCCATAGTAAAATTTAAAATGACACGTGCAAGTGAACTTTAATTCACATAACTTAACAAATAAATATGATGAAATATAAAGTAATCACGGTGAATTTGTCAATAGGGTGATAAGAATATGCAAATAAATTGTGGTATTGTAAAGACAGAAGTCAGGGGCCAGGTAACAGATCCTTTATTGAGAAAATCAAGAGATATTTATTAATTTTTATGTACATTATTGTCAGCGGAGAAGCGACATCTTTTGATTGTTTGTTTTCTTGCTGAAGGTTATTTTGTATTGCTTGTGACCGTTTCTTAGAAAGTTAAGCCATATATCTGCGAATGGTAAGATCACACGTTAAGTTTGCTGTGATTGGCTGGTGAATTCCTCGAGGTTAAGCTTTGTTTTTGTTTCTCTCATGACCTCCATTCGTGGCGTAACATTGATGTATATTATTTTCTACAAGTTTTGGTTTGCATCCCGCCCTCACCACACAATTAGTCATAATAGAAATGATAATAATGATTCCATCAGTTAATAAGGATTAAAAAGTGGACCAATATAATCGATAATAGCTAAGAAATTCATGAAAAATCTCCATTCGAACATTAATAGAGAGAAGACCAGTAATCCATCGAAGAGTCTCTCTTCGGAGGTGAATTCATTCATCATTCAGCTGTACAATCATAAATATATACATGCAGTTATTTTGCATATGTGTGTACATTAATTTTGTCAAAAAGTAAGTTCTTGGTGAAGTTACGTAATTCGAAAGGTGTTCAGAGGAATTTGATATTGATATCAGAGGGTAGTAACAAATGTTATGAGTTGTCACAAACGACTGTTAGCGAAAAGTTACGTAATAGCAACATGAATAGTTTGATGAAAGAGTTGTGCTCAGGGTGTACATGGAAACAGAATAAAATGCGTAATTACGTAAGAGTTTCAAGTAGTTAGAAAAACAAGCAAAAGTTAGATCAAATCAACAGAGTTGTTGCCGTGATAGTATAAGTGCTTGAATAATTTTATTTTGTATGCATAGTTCTGGTTCTTCCAACTGAATGGCTAGGACTTCTGCAATGCAAAGAAGACGGAAACGTATTGTCTTTGGCAGGTTGTTCTTCACTTTGTATATTACTTTGAAGGAGGCGTTTGTTGAGATGGAATGACCTGTAATGGTGACGAGATGTTTGATTATTGCACTCCTTATACGACCACTACTTCCTATCTGCAGCGACGCTGG